ATAATATTAATATTATTAGATTAACATTAATATGTATAGTATTATAGTCTGCAGCAGCGATCGGCAAACTTTTTTATTAGGAGGAACACTCTAGGATATTTATATATGAAATTTTGTATACGTGATAAATAGTCCGACTTCAACCAGTAAGTCGAAAAAAAATTAAAAACATATTTTCATTCATAATTTTCTTTATGTTCGAAATTTTGATATTAAATAAGTTATTTATACCTTATTTCATCAGTCACAGTTTTCAATAGCCTGTATTACATTTTCTAAAGGTTTTAAGTAATTGAATTATTGAGTTGATAAGAAAGTAATTTTAACATTACTGCGAATATTTTCGACATATTTTACTTTTTTATTTCCGTAAAAGCAAAAAAGCTGATGTGACCCTCTGCAGCTTTCTTGCTTCAATATGTGAAGTTTATGATGTTGATTGTTTAACTATTAATTTGACAAGATTACAAAGATATTGGGGAATTTGATCTGCATCCAAAGAACCAAACGATCAATTAAAGAAAAATGGTCTAAATTTGCAAATCGTGTTTCACCAACATATCTTTGGTAAAACGTAAACAATTATTATCGTTTGATCGAGAAGTGCTGTCACATTCATGGAAAACTTTCACTAATTATAATGATCTGATTCGCACTTAGTTCAGTATTTTGTTCTTAAGAAGTTCTATGAGCGCGGAATCATGGTGTTGAAAGATGGCAAACGGTCATCGGACAAAATGGAAAATATATAATTGTATGCAAAGAAAGAGTTATATTTTATTATAAAAAAAAATATTTTCTTGCCGACCTAATATTTAATGAGTCACATAAATGTTTTCTTGCATCATTTTTACAATGGCGCGCAAACCGGGACTTCTCATCGTCACTCGTTATACAAAACGTCGTTCAGTCAGTTTTATTGCAATTCATTTTGCTCGTTAAGCGTAATGCTCGTGGTACTTGTTAAGCGAGGTTCCACTGTATACCATTTATTATAAAGCAGTTAAAATTTAATTTAACTTGTTGTTTTTAATATGTTAAAACAAACTTATTAAAAAGTTTATTTGTATAAATTATGTTTTATATTAAGGAATTTGTAATTAATAATATTGTTATATTTTCAATAAATATTCAATCCATATATTGATTTATAATAATAATTATAATAATGGTACGTGAGCCACTGAAGTAAAATATTGTACAGATATTAATTGATATTTATTTTATGCGCATTTTCATTATATTTCCGAATTTTCATTAAATTCACATCCTGTTGCTGATATGTATATTTATATATTATATATAAATATATTTTATATATACATATATTTATATTATTTATTTACATTATCTCAGAAATGTAATAATTATTTTGTATTTTTTTTTCTAAATATATATATTTTCATTTTACAGTTTTTGATTCGTAATCATATTAATACATAATTTTGCATTATATTTCTATTTAATTATTATAATTAATCAACAATATTTTAGTATAGTCACTAGAACTAAAATACAAAAATATTAGGAAATAAATGTTAAACATCAAAAATAATTATTATAGATTATATAATATGAAATAATATAAGATGTTATATGACTGAAAAAAAAAATATAATGATTTGTAGTTTATTAATATTTTATTTACATATTGTAACGTGGTAAAATAGACAACGCTGCAAGTGCGTTCCACGTTGCAACTATGTTTCCAAAATTCGAGGAGACCGCAGCGAACCGCGAAAGAAGACGGTTGAGGTCTCCAATTGAGAAGATATTGATATATATATATTCATAAGCTCTAAGATGACGGTGTTGGTGCTCTAGAGGAGCTAAGGCCCACCGTCGGAGAAGAAGTGTGCTGTTCTGAGAAAGCAATTATAAGAGTTCTTTCTCTCGATAAAAGGAAGTGGCGCCCTGAACCTTCCCACGTCACGGACTCACGCCCAAGCCGGCTGAAGATTTGTATATCTTGTTTTTTTTTGTACACGAGCGCTATCGTGTTACATTTTGTATATGTTAAACAAGGTGCGTTGGCTAAAGAAATAATATGATTGATTTACATAATTATTCCATCTATTTGATATGTGTTTAGTGCACCCTCAGCGACAGTATTCTATGCACATATATACCACTCGTGTGCTGTTTATATGGAAAATATATATTTACTGCAGAAATATGTTATATCAAGTTGGAAATATGATAGTTCTGCAAATAATTGCAGAATTGAAGTCCACCAGACAAAATGCATGAATTTATTTCAGTTTACTTAATAATATTCGAGTTTATTTTTTCCTTTTGTGTAACAATAGGAGTTGTGTGATAATCACTGTTTTTTTGAATTATCAATAGAGCAATTTATTTTAAAATCTAAGTTGAATTAAAAGAATTCAAATGAAAATAAAAATCGAAATTAATCAATAGTATTGTGTCCTATATTTTTAAAATAGTATTTTCATTTTGATCCATTAAAATTTAGTTTGTTTAGATTTTTTGTAGTACACATTATTTATGAAAAACAATACATTGAAATAATTCTGTTTCAAATCTAACTACTTATACTTATTGTTTATTCCAATTAAATACCATTAAACATATACCTGCTATAGTGATTCTATATAAAGGGTATCCCAACATTAACACAAGATTTGAATTTGCCGCCCTTTGTGCAGTAAAGTGTCAAATTGTTTTTTTTTTGGGTTTTTAATACTTTACTGCGCAAATGCGCATAATAAAAGACATAAATAATTGCATATCCAAAGATATATTTCCAACACAAATATATGTATTTGAAATTCTGTCATTATATATTATTTTATCTCTGACGTTTAGTTATAATAAATTGAGGTCGTTGTTCTAAATTGGGAAACATATAACTGCGATAAAGTACTTATAATATATTTAGTTTCTAGTATATTTCACACTACATTAGTAAAAAAAAAACTTAATGTAGATTGTTATTTACTTTATTTAATATGAATATTAAAATAAATTCCATAGTACTTTTTAATCATATTGACAAATTAATAGTACCACAATTTACTATATAGTAAACCTTCATATTTAAAGTGTGAAAATTATGCCAATAAATAGTGTTGTCGTGTCCCAGGGATGGACTTATGGACACAGTGGAATATTGCCTGGTGTTGTTGTTGTGGAATCACATCTGTTGGGATTTTAATGAAATTCGTTTGGATTTACATAACTTTATTCGTTACTTGGTCGATTTAAGATTTATCTGCGACTATACTCATCATATTAAGATTCTTACGTTCATCTTATTAAAGTTTTACTGAGACTCTATTCGTCTTTGAAGGTTTTACTGAGATTAATTCTAAATACTTATTCTACTTATAAAGTTAATTGTGATTGGGAGTAGGGTTTGTATATATTGATGATTAAGCGTTCCCACTGGATTCGGCCTTAGTGGTTCTGTTTATTATAAGACCGGAAGAAAATCCTATGCATTTGTTTATTGGAAATATATTGATTAAGATTGTATGTGTAATGACCATTATGTGTTTATAAGGACTTGAATTCGGAGTTAAGGTATAGGAGTATCGATGAGAATGTTTACGCTTGGTCCCCTTTATTTATATTAAAGTGTATCGAACTGGGATCACGATAGAAATTATTTTATGCTGATGTATATGTTCATATAATAATGTCACTAAGAGACGCCGTGAATGTCTCTAGTTCGTTAATACACTATATTAATAATAACAATTATAATAATAATGGTTGGACACAACAGTGTATCTCGCTTAATGAACATTTCGCTAAATGAGCAAAACAAATTGTAACAAAAATTACTTGCTTAACGAGCGACGTTTCGTATAACGAGTGACGAGAAGAAAAGTCCCTGCTAAATCATTTTAAAATTTGTCATCTTTGTTTATAGCTCGCTAAACTTTGCAAATATAAAAAGTATTGTGTCCAACCATTATTATAACATATAAACACATTATGTAGGCTTTTTTATGTAAAAAATATAAAAAGTATAAAGAGACCTCCACAGAAACACCAGATCGTTAATAGAAATATAAACAAATGGAGTCATTTGTGATCACACATATTACCTGATTTGTATTCAGTTATTTTATTTGTGATTTTTTTGTGCAAAATTTAATAACACTTGCATGTCTCCGAATAAAAAGGTGAAAAATATAAATAACCATAAATATGATAAGCACAATCATTAAAAAGCAAGATCAATTTATACTTTTGGAACGCATTATCGTATTTTACATTAGTTTATATGGAGAAAATTGTTTTACTATTATTATTTACTAAATTGTTATAATATTTAAGCGAAGTTCTACTGTAAATGTATTTCTGAGAGCAGAAAGACCCATGGTCAACAGCCCTTTGCAACGGTGGAATTTTATTTTATTTTTGTTATTGTATTAAGTTTTATTTTTATAATTTATTGTTGCAATGAATATTATTATTATTTATGATTTATGTGTATTTCTGCATCTTGTAAAATTCAATCAATTCCGTCCGTTTGGTTTCTATATTATATAATTTACAGAAAATACTTATAATTTATGGAATATTTTATGTTGTTATTGATTGTATTGCTGTTGTTGTTATTAGGATCGCTGATTTTTCTTGCTCCAATCATTTCTGTTTGTACTGAGGCATCAAAAGCAACATTTTAATACATCATGGATATTCCGCTTGTGACAAACGATACGTTAAAGTGTGTTTCTGTGCTTCTCTCTTCCAACATACACACATATACAGTGTTTACATTTGGTAATGTATAGTGATTGATTTTTGTATGGGGATGTTGTAGGATGAGGAAATTCGACGATATCCCGCATATGCGAGGATAACGTCGCCGGCGACGATTTACGACGAACACTTACATAATTTCACCGCATAAAACTATTCGTCGGACACACAAATATTAAAATCAATACCATCAAATGATTTCTTTTTCACTACTGCTGCTGCCACTACGTCCCGCACATGATATATTCCCTTATTTGTTTCAGGCGTAATAAAATTTGACAAATCTTCCGGACATGGAAAGATAATGGCCGTCTCCAATCGCACTCCTCAACTTAATAACAAGAGCGCCTCGACAAGGAAAATGGATGTTACAGCTTTCTTAACAATCATATTGATTTTATTATTTCATGGTGAGTTCTTAAAATACTGCTCCTATTCTAAATTACTGTAATACTTCTCGTATTTCACTCGCACGCTAAACAAGTTCAAAAAGTTTTCTGGAACAAATCGCTTAAAATAAGCGCAAACGATTCGAATGAAAGTTTTAATTAAATGTACAAGACTTCATGACTTGCAACACATAAACATAAACTTTTTACTAACACATAACAGAATCAAGCTTTCTATGTTATATATGTATATTCGCAACTCAGATCAACTTTCAATTCGGTACAGTTATTAATCAAGCTTATTACTTAGTACATAAATTACTTAAATTATATTAATATAACGATTGAATATTGCCAAAAAAATTTAGATCTTTGAGATATTGAATATTTTAAGTCCAATAGTCTTAATTATTTATTTCTATCAAACACTATAGTTTAGCGAATATTATTCTATAAAAATACAACAATAATTATATATAATATAATTTAAAAATTAATTACACTTTTGCAATTAAAAATATAAAAGATAAGAACAATGAAACCTCGCTTAACGAGCAAAATTAATTGTAAGAAAAATAACTCGCTAAACGAGCGACGTTTGGCATAACGAGTGATGATGAGAAGAGAAGTCCCGAATTGTGCGTCTACTACATCATTTTTAAAACTTGTGTACACATATTATGTGTATTTTTTAATATGTTTTACTATACGAGTAAAAATCCGGGAATTTTGGAACGGATTAAACTCGTTAAGCGAGGTTCCATTGTATATGGTTTTCCAAAATCTTTACATTTTGCTTTATACTTAAAAAATGTTACTTTTATTTTTTTTTTAATTTTAAAGGTTACGATATATATATCATTATAATTTATAGATTATTATATACTAGTAAACTTTTACTAATTCACATAAATCATTGCGAAGATCAATTGGTCTCCAACACGGTCGTAACGGTGATATTGCCTGATGCTGCAAATCTATATGAAGGGAGACGAATGAAAGGGCCACATCCCTTTTATCCGCACTTAATTAACGCAACGAAAGACTGTGGGCAAAATGAAATTTGCCCAAGGTGTAGAATAACGGTGGGAAAAGAAAAAGACAGAAAAGGAATGAAAAAAAAAACTTGAGGGAAATATATAAAACGAAGAAAAATGAGAGCAGAAGGAAGAGAGAGAGAGGGAGAATATATATATATCGACAGAGAAAGTCCCGTAAGTGTTTCAATAATCGTAAAAGGAAAGCGACACGTTTCGAATTGAGATAACGAAGAATGCCCTTGTTATTTCACTTGTTTTTTTTTCTTATACATCCTTCTTTATTTTTTCTCTTCTGCAATGCTCCCTTCGCTTGTTTTCCACTACCTACCGAAGAAACTCGGCAGGTTCAAAAAGTTTGACTGCTTTTTTATCTTTCTCCTCGGCAATCAAAGAAAGTGTGCTTCGACTGTTCGAGATATGAGCATGCCTCATAAATTTATGAAATCAATTTAGTTCCTCGATCGATACTGGAATGAATGTATGCAGTATATATTTCAGAATCTTTGTTTTCTACACTTTAATCATTTAAATCATTTTACGTAACTATAAATCTATTTTATATTGCTTTTAATTAATAAATCAATATAATTATTAAAATTATTAAAATTACTGAAATACTTTATATAAAAAATATTAATTTTTATACACAATATTTTTTTTTAAAACATTATAATTAAAAGTTCAAAACAACACCAAACTTTGCACTTCAACACAAACTCAATTTAAAAGTGAAATATATATCTTTTTATAAGTTCTTGACAAAAACCCATACTTTTCTATGAAACTCAATAATATTTTGATTAATTTATTTCAATATTCAATTTATATTTTCTCCTTTTTCTCCAAGTCTCGAAAGTGTTTAATAAATATTTGTTTTAATAGCATTAACTATAAGTGGATTGGTCTCTTGACGCCGACTTCCGCGTCTGACTTAAAATTAATCTATTTCCATGCAGAAATTGTATTATTTTGCTTTGCATTCCCTCGAAAATTAGTTTGCAAATAACTAGAGCTTTAATTTAACTATTATTAACTGTTTTATTTTATTTACATATGTAAGATATATAATTAAATTGCTGCTAAACTTTTAATTATTTTTTATTTATTTAATTTTATCTATGTTTGTGAAGATTTATATCTTTTAATTGTATATAAAAAATATCAGCGTTATTTATGAATATTGTGTTTAGGTCACTAATCCAATACATATTTGTAAAGTACAGTGTCATTTATTTTTTGAAAGTTTTTTATTTGATGAACATTTCCATTATTTGAAAATAAACAACAATAAATATTTTAAACTTACAGAAAAGTCAGTAGAAACAGATGGAGAACTCTTTTGTAGCTTATATAGAGAATATACAGAAAATAATTAAAATTATAACAAAAAGACTTAAAACGTATAAATTCTTTATATTTAGTGTATTGTTTTGTACACAAAAATATTCAGTTTTATAACTTGGTAAGCTAGAAAGTTTATTCAATTAATGTCAGACACAATAAAATATACTTAATGTTAGAACAATAACAATAATTAATAAATAAGTAAAGACAATAGAAGAAACTCAAGTAATTTATTATTCATTTTTATGTATGAGTTTAAACATATTTTTTTGTATGTTAATATTTTTTCAAGTATTTGTATATTAATTATTATACTCAAATATACGCTTCCATTATATTCATTGCATCGTCGGAATAGTAATCCTCGAAAGAAGATAGAAATGGTTGTCTCAATGGATAGATCGATTGCGAAGTTATAAATGTTCTCTCAAAAAAGCCTGGAGGTTGTTAGGACATGCGGGCAGGCTAATGATTATTTGCTTTCATACAATTTACTTTGTATCAATTTAGATTGATCTTTGTGGATTTTCTTTTATGAGATTGGTTTTGATATCCATTATTTAATTTAGAATTAAAAGCCATTTACCTTTTTCTTAACAGTCTCTTTAAATTTATTGATAAGTGTAGTCATAAATGTATATTTAGAATAATAAAACATTCAATGAGATATGAACTTAAATGACAGTTCTAATCAATGAGAATAAATTATAATTGTCTTCAATATATTTATTAAACTTGAATAACTAAATATATAATAAGACTTTGTTTATTATAATATAAAAATAAAATTATAAATGAGTTATATTTCAGGAGTTAATTAAAATTAATATAATTGAAAATGGAGGAATTATTATGTTACTAAAAATGTTTAGTAGAATTGACAAAGAAATTTTGAAAAGAGCGGTTTAATAAGAATCAAAATGGATATGCAAATTCGCAATATCTGTACGCAAATTTCTTTTGGGAATGAAAAGGTCCGCGAGCGGCATTTCGTTGAAGGAGATGAGAGCAGAGAAAAAAAATAATAATGCATCCCCGCAGCCCTAGTGACTCTGTAGCTCTCGTCTCATAAGAGGGCAATATTTCACGATATTCAGTCGAGAGGTAGACTAAATAGGCCATTCCTAGGCGCATAACACATACAGTGTACACACTTCCAGTAGTCGGAGGCAGTCGGAGACTTCAATACAAGCCACCAGTTTTGTAACGTCCGCCATAAAATATCTTTTATTCAGGAAGGAGCAACAACAGGGCGGACGGACCAACCGTCATCCGCACATTGAATCAATTGAATTAACGAAAAAAAAAATATAGCTTCAAAATATACGCACGTTTTGGAACATTCTTTTAATTATTTCAAATTACTGCGAAACTTAAGATTAAATAACGATACAAGTAAATCTACTTTTCTGATTGAGGAGGTAGTTAAAACTGTATATATATATATTGATATTAGTAGTACAGTAGAACCTCGCTTAACGAGTTTAATCCGTTCCAAAATTTCCGGATTTTTACTCGTATAGTGAAATAATCGTATAGTGAAATACGTTTTCCCATATAAACTAATGTAAAAAATATAACTTTTCAAATCTATGGTTCTTTTTATTCTTTGACTTTTTATTCGGAGACAAAAAACACAAATAACATGTCTGAATACAAGTTTGGAAATTTTGTGATCACAAACAACACTAAGATATAATTAGAATTACCACTAACACTAGGAACTGTTTTCCAATTCACACACGGTGAAGTGAATTTATATTTGTTCATATTACTTCTATCAATTCGAGGACTCGGTGGAGGTCTCTTTATAATTTTACTATTTGTTTATATAAAAAAGCGTACATAGTGTGTTTATATATTATAATAATGGTTCGACACAATACATTTGTGTTTTGCATTTACAGCAAACACAAATCATATTTGCAAATTAAAGTCCACTTTAAACAAAGATGACAAAGAAAATCGAAGATGGTTAATATATTCAAAAATACATGTAAAAATTATGTAGCTGCGCGCCTGCAGGGACTTCTCTTCCAATCGTCACTTGTTATGCGAAACAAGTTCTTTAAGCAAGTCATTTTTTTTAAGGTTGATATACTCATAAATAATTATAATTGAAAATATGCTTAAAAATATATGTCATTTATTTTTTCTTACTACTTAATACAAGGGTGTCAAACTAACTTGGGCCAAACAAACAAGGTTTAACTTTAAGTGGGTCGCAAAAATATCAATATTCATAGAAACGTAAGTTTGTTTCGAATAATACATTGCAAAAACCATATATAAAATAACAAGAAAAATTTAATGTTTACGTCCTGACACTTGATATCTCTTCTCTGCTACTATTTTCCTATTTCGGTAGAAATTTTGTTCGGAGTGATTACTTTGAAAACTGACCCAAGATTAACGTCTGATACTGTTTCTAACAGGAGACATATTTCCTTTCATAACTGAAAATAACTGCTCGCACCGATAAGTACTTTCAAACATGGAAATAATTTGTAAAATTTAGGCTCATCCACTTCAATAAATGTTGCCTTCAAATTTGAGACGCACTGAATCTCGATCTCCGCCATTTGCATATGGCTGAGTCTATATTTATTGAGAAAATCGAAGAAAACAAACAAAATT